AGGCGCCCGCCACAACGCCCAGCCATTTTTTGGTTGCAGCCATCACTGTTGTTTGGTGGGCCCGGGCTGGGGATTCGAACCCGCTACCTTAGGTGTATGTGGCTGGCGCCTTAGCCACTTGAGCCACAGGCGCCAAGCCAGAATGCTTTAACAGACCATCTGGAGGTAGTCATTTATCTTTGGGAGTAGTTTGGAAATTGCTGAGATATACAGGTGCCTGTGTGCAGGCCTGGCCCCACAAAGCCAGGCCATTAGTCACTAGTACGTGACCAGGCCGTCAGCCACATATGGAGTTCTATCCAGGTTCTCTCCATTCTAACTCACAAAAAACTTAAATTCTACTCCATTCTACTCTCACAAAATGGAACTGTTTAAAGGTTTACTTACAGGCTTTCTGCCTATGAGCCTATTCCTTTATATTTTCTCTGAATATATTTAATTTTCAGGCAAAATAAGCTTCAGTTTTACTTTTTCTCCTTAATTATTCATTATAGAGTTGAAGAAGGTGTTCCTGTGCCATCTACTTCTACAGATAAAGTGGAAAGGTAAGATTATTAGCACAGTATAATCAGATTCGTATCTGGAATATAAACTATGAGCACTACGACTCAGGGGCAGTTAGTTTCATTTAGTTAACTGAACATTAAATTACTTGTGTGTAATGTAATTTATAGTCTTTCTAATGAGTCTTCTCCCTACTTCTTTGTTGTCTTACTCTATATTGAAATGCTGCTGCTGTCTCCCCTTTCTCCTTTATTTCCCAAAATTCTGTCCATGGCTTACTCTAGCCTGAAAAGTTTTCTGTTTTCCTACGTATTTCAGGCAAGCTCCTGTTAGAGATTTGAACTACTGCTGCCTCTGCCCTGGAGTGCTTCTTCTCTACATGTGTATAGCTTGCTCCCTGTCTTTCTTCAGTTTTAACATTGGCAGTGTGAAGCTGGGTGCGGGGTCTCAGGTCTGTAATCCCAAGCATTTGGGAGGCCGAAGCAGGTGGATTGCTTGAGCTCACAGCTTCAAGACCAACCTGAGCCAGAGCAAGACCCCATCTCTAAAAGTAGCTGGGTGTTATGGTGGGTGCCTGTAGTCACAGCTGCTTGTAAGGCTGAGGCAAGAGAATCAATCCCAAAAGTTTGAGATTGGTATAAGGTATGACACCATGGCACTATGCCAAGGGTGACAAAACGAGACTCTGTCTCAAAAAAAAAAAAAAATTTGGAAATGTGATCTTCCTAGATCAGTTTTTTATAGCCACAGTGCCTAGAATTATACTCAGTAATAGTAGGTGCCCAAGTAATGGTTGATTGAATGAATAAAATGAATTATCCATCCCAATAACTTCACTTCCATTAATGGAACTTGGAAATCATATATGTGTGTGTGTGTGTATACCTGTAAAACATCATACTGGAGATAACTCATCTCAAAATTTCATCTTATTCCTTTTTACCTGATCCTTCCCCATGAACCATAAATCTGCTTATAGTCACCTTCAGTGACTGCATTAGGTAGAATTTTATCTAAATAGAATCATAAAGTATTTTTTATATGACTTCTTTGAGATTCATCTGTGTTCTCATGGGTATCAATAGTTCATTTTTCTTATTACTGAATGGTGTTCCCTAATGTAGATACATTATAATCCATTTGTCCATTTGGGTTTCCTGTTTTTGGCCAATCAGTAGAGCTGCTGTGAATATTTGTGTACAAGTCTTTAAATGAGCATATACTTTAAATTTTGGAGTTAATACTTATGATTGGGGCTCAGTGCCCAAGGCACAGTGGTTACTGCGCCAGCCACATACACCAAGGATGGTGGGTTTGAACCCAACCCAGGTCAGCTAAACAATAATGACAACTGCAACAACAACTACAAAAAAATAGCTGGGAGTTGTTGTGGTGCCTCTAGTCTCAGCTACTTGGGAGGCTAAGGCAAGAGAATCACTAAAGCCCAAGAGTTTGAGGTTTCTGTGAACTCCGATGCCGTGGCACTCTACCTAGGGCAGCATAATGAGACTGTGTCTCAAAAATAAACAAACAAACCCTGTCATCCATTTCAAGTTAATTTTTATATGAGATAGGAGGTAAAGATTGACGTTTATTCAGTTTTTTGCTTGTAGGTATCTAGTTGTTCCAGCCACATTTGTTAGAAAGATTATCTTATGTCCCATTAAATTGTCTTGGCACCTATCTCAAAATTTTAATTAGCCATATTACACATATGTGTCCATCAATTTTTATGGACTTTATTTTGTTCCATTTGATGTATTGATCCATCAGTTCACAATATCACATAGTCTTAATCTTGAGGTCACTGCCTCTTGCTCTGTCAATCTAACTGCCTTTTTTTTTTTTTTTTTTTTAAGGACAGAGTCCCACTATGTCACCCTTGGTAGGGAAACATGGCATCATAGCTCACAGCAACCTCCAACTCTTGGGATTAAGCGATTCTCTTGCCTCAGCCTCCCAAGTAGCTGGACCTGTGCCTGTGCCTGCCATAACATCCAGCTATTTTTTGTTTCAGTTGTCATTGTTGTTTTAGCTGGCCCATGCTGGTTTTGAACCCACCGGCCTTGGTACATGTGGCTGGCACCGTAAGCATTATTCTCTGGATGCTGAGCCTTCTGTTTTTGTTCTGTTTTGTTTTGTTTTTGGATACAGAGTCTTACTTTGATCCCTGGTAGAGTGCTGAAACATCATAGCTCACAGCAACTTCAAATTCTTGGGTTCTAGTGATTCTCAGTCTCAGTAGCTGAGACTATAGGCACCCAAGCTATTTTTATTTTTTTAATTTATTTATTTTCTGTTAGAGACAGAGTTTCTCTTTCTTACTCTCGGTGGAGTGCCTTTGTGTCACAGCTCACAGCAACCTCTGGCTCTTGGGCTTAAGGCGATTATCTTGCCTCAGCCTCCCCAGTAGTTGGGACTACAGGTGCCCACCACAATGCCTGGCTATTTGTTTCTTAAGGTTTGGCCAGTGCGGGGTTCAATCCCACCACCCTCAGTATATGGGGCCAGCACCCTACCCCCCAAAGCATGGGCACTGCCCCAAAACTTATTTATTTTTAGCCCAAGCTTTTTTTTTTTTTTTTTTGAGACAGAGAGCACCTCAAGCTGTTGCCCTGGGAGGAGGACCGTGGCATCACAGCTCACAGAAACCTCCAACTCCTGGGCTCAAGCAAGTCTCCTGCCTCTGCCTTCTAAGTAGCTGGGACTACAGGCACCTTCCACAACGCCCAGCTAGTTTTTGGTTGCATCTGTCGTCGTTTGGCAGGCCCAGGCTAGATTCAAACCCTCCAGCTCAGGTGTATGTGGCTGGTGCCTTAACCACTTGAACCACAGGCCCTGAGCTAGCCCAAGCTATTTTTAGAGACAGGAATCTCTCTTTGCTTAAGAGATGCTCTGAACTCGTGAGCTCAGGCAGTCTGCCTATCTCAACCTCCTAAAGTGTTGGGATTACAGGCCTGAGCCACTGAGCCCAGACTAATTGCTTCTTAATTTTAATTTTTCTTTTAGCCAGTATACCTTGCATGAATTTATAAGTTCCACTTTGATTTTTTTTTTTTTTTTTTTTTT